CGAATTTTTGCGGTTTATCCACGAATTTGCATGCATTGAGGTAGCGATTTTTGGCCCGCGGCTAGTCGTGCGCTCTCTGCTTCCAGTTATAGGTGGGATGACTCTCACTGAGTTTCAATTAGATGGTCGTCTTCGAGCTGTCACCTCCACACCAAGTGGACTCTCATCAGGAGTACCAACTTCTAATGGTTGGTCAGTCCATGATTACGAAGGAAATTTCTCGGACCAAACAAATTCGATTGAAATGAATTTTTACGCTCGAAAGGATGACATACCAGACATAGAATGCAATGATCAAGATCATTCAAATGGACAAATGGAAGACTGCGTAACTGTGTGCCGAGTCAGCTTGACGTTCCAATTAGAGGAACATGTGAAGGTTCAGGAGATGTCAGCGACTATCGAATCACGAGACAGTTTTATTTTTATTAGTGGTACTGTCGCCCAGGCCTCTTACAATAAAACATACTCGTTGGATTCTCAATCGAAACTCAAGGATATGTCTATTGAAAGCCGATCTGCGATTCTCCGAAAATTGACTTGGATTAGGAAGCTTGAAATTCAAGGTGGATACGTCGCCGTCCCATTTTGATCAAATGCTTGTAATTCAATCATAGATTTACAGAATGAGAGTCATTTAGGCAACCGATTTTTTGCGGTCTAACGCCAACCACGAAATGCGGAATATAAGTTTACCACCGAGGAAATGAACGAATGAGAGACTCATTCAATATATATTCGCATATTAAAAGCCATTTTGGATCTTGAAAGAATTGCATTCAATGCAGTTTTTTTTCTTGAGTAGAGCACATAGAAAAGTGTGCAATGAAGCTGCTAAAGACGCAAAAAGGGATGAAGCCTGGGGCCGTATTTACAGTAAGTGGAATTGCTCGAAAGTAAGGCATGTTTAATTTTGGAATAGAGATCAACCACGACGAGAGTGCCGAAGCTAGTCAAGATCGGTCAGTTCGCTTACTGGAGATCTTACGTGCACTGTGTATCAAGCGTGATATTACAGTTTTGGAGAAGCCTGCTAAGAATTTAGAATGACAGCATTAGCGTGCTTCAATTTTAAGACTTCGATAATTGAAGGCAGCACGATTGTATGAATATGTGAACTAGGAAGAATCCAGTAACATCATGTTTGAAGCATTCAAAAATCCTGATTGCGGAAGCTACATTGACGACAGGATTTTCGTATCAATCATGACGGTCAAGAGCGGGAAAAGTTCCTATTTTCGTGCGCAATGCTTAAGAGTATGGGGAAGGCCAGAGATGCATCAGATCTGGTACGACAATTAAGAGGCGATTATAAGAGCATTTCTGGCTAATTATGATACCGGGGTCAAACACGTGGATACCTGGAACCCTTACATATAAGGAACAGTGAAAACAAGATGGTCTGGTTCGATTTTGTTGACACGAAGAATTTACTCAAAGAAGCATTTCATTTTCACTCTTCAAAAATCTTCGGTATGCTTGCTCGCCAGCATACGCACTGATGTTGTAGTGGAGAAAAGCTTGGTCGCAACTGATGGCAATACCTGGAGTGGAAAAGTCTAATATGTACCTACGTCTTCGTTTTAAGTTTCGATAATGATACAGTTGTAGTTCGCTCAGTGAAATTTTTCCTGCAGTAGCTCTGTCGTATTCTGGTCTACAAACCATAAAAGGGACACGGAATGTGATTCTCGGTTAAAATCTAACTGTTTTCTCTTCTTAAAACCGTGTAATCAATCATTTTCTTCGAGAGAATTTCGTTTACTGTGCGAGCACATGTGAATTTCATATGAAACTTCCGGTAAATATTTGCTAGGATGCTGATGCTCAATATTGTTAACGAACGATGTAGAGGCTATATGTACGTCTTACATGCATGAGAATTGCATTTGTTTGTAGAGTAGATAACTAAGATTGGCCAAGTGATTAAGGTGTAGTAGCTCCGCTTTCTAAACTGATGATTTTATTTCTGAGAAAATAAAAGCTACACGGGTCAGGGCTCGTTGCGTTGTCCATAACCTCGTTGTTTAATGGTTTACAGACTTTGGTATAAATATTGAGACAACGACACAAAAACGTATTATATTTGTCACGCTATGATTCACCAACAAACAAACAGGTAAACATCCATAGCCGAACCTTCCTTCACTACAACATCCGCACATGCGATCGTGAACAAGCATACCAGCAATATACTAGGATTGTGACTACCACCACTGGGTGTTTGATATGAGGATGACTCTAGCAAGATAGGATTTTTTGGGGTATTCACGACCGTCAGGTATTGAAATGATTTCGCGGAGACTTGGCTTGTGAACGACGTCAACGCATGGGTCATGATCGTCCAAGACGTTACGATTCAGCATCAAACCAAGATCCGGGCGGCCACGAGCGTCACGAAGGCATGGGGAGCGCTATGTGATTTTTGCAAACGCTCGATACTGCACAATTGTGTAACGATAATTCTAGACTCAATACGGAAATTGGTTCTAGTATGGCGGAGCATTCAGACGCATAAGGCAGTTTCAGATCACCAAACATAGGGAAAGTCAGTTGGCGAGTCGCGCCAACTAGTTGTACTTCTGAGCAGTCTGATGTCGAAAGATGAATTGATGTCACCGCTTGTGGAATATGCTGACAACATTGCATTAATTAAGGTCATAGAAAAGCTGTCAAAGTATCAGAGATGCTGTACAAAAAAGTTTCTAGAAAGGTTTTGCACAAATGAAATTGATGAAGGACTCAAAAGTGAACGAGGCGACGTTTGAAAAGGTGGTCCTCTACGCAATACCGCAAATTTAAGGGCAGGACTATTAATGGTAACCAAGTAAGCGACGTGAAGCGGAAATGCCCGGCTAGAAAACGATTTAGCGATGATGACGTGGTATTTGCAGTAAGATTAGGATGATCAGCAGGTGGCTTATCGACAGTGGCGTCACATCACAGACAACCCCGCATAGGAAAGACGTGTTCAAATACAAGGAGAATCAGACAATCATTGCAGTAGCAATTGCTGATAGCAGAAAACTTATCTTCCAAAGGTTTGCCACAGTGATATGGCCCGAAACGCTGACATTTCATTCATCCCAGGTCATGACAGAAAATTGGTGACTGTTTGCAAGCTTCCACAACGCAGCTTGAGTGTGGGAGGGGCATGCGCTCATCTCAACTGAAGCTGATTATATCAATGCTGACACTCAGTGCAAATTTTGGTACCCAAAAAACGACGCCACACTTATCGATCAAGGGTTTTCCGATGGTCAAGCAATGAGCAGAGAGATCGTGGGCCTGGTGATTTCAAAGTGAGCAGGTAGTCAAGGCACTTTTTTACATGTGCCGGAGTGCGTGTACACAGACATCAAAGGTCCAAAGCGGGCTATATTCCGACATTATAAAAGAAACGTAAGTAAACGATGATAGATGTTTCGTCGAAGCGGCATCGTCCGCCGACATTTCGGATAATATAGTTCTCAGCGGAATGAAGTAACAGTGCGCATATAAATACGACGATTATAAAAAAAAATAATTGTTTCTGGGATAACCTCGTCAGCTCAGGAGATTATGTTGAGACTCAAGCCCCGGACTCTAAGTAACTTGTGGAACCGAACAGCAAATAACCTGTCGTGCCCCCCGAGACATGTTCAGGGTCGGACAGAACTCACCTGATTCACGTCTTCTGGACATGCCCCCCTGCCAAGAGATTGTGGGACCACCTTATCAAAGAATGGGAAGTCTTCGGTGTCAGCTTTCAAGGCAAGCCTGTAGAAGCAATCTTCGCACTTCGACTACCAACTTCTCCAGCTCGATTGGCGCTCGCAATGAACC